TCACCAGTAATGATCAATACATCTTGATTGCATGTTTGATCAATTTCAGATTGAAGAATCTAGAGAGGAGTAAACTGTGGGGGGCTTGGGCATCTGGTATGGTTTGGTGCCCTCTGCCAGTCAAGGAGCTCACAAGGAGGAATGGAGGGGTGAGGCATTGGGGTGCTCAGTCCGACATGGAGTTCTTGCTGACCTAGATGATATTTGGAGTTGGGGCATCTTATCTGGAAATAGTCCATGCTGATTCAGAGGTTGGGTGAATTCTTGGTGCTTATTCCTGGAAGGGGTGCTTTGGCCCCAGAATGCAGCTAGGAGCAGGGCTGGTGGTGACTGAAGGAGTGGAGTGGTGGCTAGGGAAGGGTGACAGGCTGACTGATCTGGCACTGTGAGTTTTAGCCTGATGAGGCAGAGTTCGTGAGCCTCTAGGTGCCAGTTAGTGCATCTCTGGTGGGTGAGGGTAGGGGCTGATCACCTTTCTGTTCACCAGGAGCATTTGGGGAACAAGGAAGGATTGCCCCTTTCTCATCACCAGCCACTAGCATGCATTTGTGCCATCAGGCCTCTGTCTCAATTGAACTCTGCTTGCAGAAGTTCAATATGGCCTAATTGTGTCATATCAGTTGACAGTTCACCTATTTTATTTCCTCTCTCGCTGACACTTTTGTTCAGCCTCTTCCCCCAGTCTGTTTGCAAGCCACTAGTCTCTTCTTTTCACTTAGGCTCAGGGCTCCAGGGTTGTTGTCGGGGACCGGCCTCAACAGGGGAGTTTGGTTCACGAAGTAGGGAGATCTGGCAGCGAAAGAGATAGAGAAAGAATATACACAAAGACACGAAGAGAGAGACAAGGAGACACCCCGAGACCAGAGTGGATGCAAAACTTGGCACGCAGACCCTGGATTCCAGGCATTATGACCCTGCAGGCAGTAATGCACGCAGGGTTCCATCTGCATTCGTCTTTTATTTCAGGGAGGGATTTTACACAAAGGAAGAAGGTGATCATTAAGACAGGGTACAGGCAAACTTATAAATTACTTTTTAGGCTCAAATCCTAAGGTAGTGACTCGAGGTTTCTCAAGGCTAGTTAACATATCTATAGTGCTCAATCTCTACTGGGAAAAGGTGAAAGGATTTGAAAGGTCTGAAGAGAGTCAAGCTGTTTCAGCTACCTGGCTTAGGCTTTCAGGAGGAAGGAGGACATCTGGATTAATGGTTTACACCTGGGGACGATTTGAGGAGGTTGTCACTATTATTCCTTGACCAATACTCCGGAATTCGCCAATCTACTTTGAGTGAATTCCTTGGGCGGATTGTCTCCAGAGCCTCTTTGCGGAATCCCAGCAAACCTGCCTTTGGAACTTTTACGGCCTCGGCTTTATATTTGTCCATGAGTATCAAGGGCTCATGTATTAAGTTAATATCAAAAATAACTGAATAATTTGATAAAGAACAGTTTGGACATGCTTGCCAGGTAGCCAGAGTTTGTTCCTCAAAGAGATTTGTTCCCAGGACCCTTGTTGTTGTTGTTGTTAAGTGCCATCGAGTCGGTTCCGACCCATAGCGACCCTGTACAGGGTTTCCGAGGGTGTAAATCCTTACGGGAGTAGAAAGCCTCATCTTTCACCCGCAGAGCAGCTGGTAGTTTCGAACCGCTGACCTTAAGGTTCACAGCCCGATTCATAACCACTATGCTACCAGAGCTCCCAGGACCCTATGCACTGCCAACACAATGGAGACATTAAGAGAGGCACATAAGAAACCATTTTCTCAGAAGCTACAATTACTGGGGTTAGAAGCATAGAATGAATAATAAGACCAAAGAAAATTATACAGAGGTAGCCCACCAGTGAGTTTGCAAAAACCAATGAACCCGGGACATCAGGAGGTCACTTCCTTTGGCCCTCAGGGTCCCTGGCTAGCTATCCTGAGTGGGGCCATCGTGTAGGATTTTCATCCATGACACAGGGCCTCAACATCTCAGTGCTTTGTGGTCCCCAACAGGTTGTATCTATTTCTTTTGGTCTGTTGTGTTTGTTGGTGAAGTATCTGTGTAGCTAGTCTGCTGAAAGTCTCTGTATAAATACATTTTGACAGTAAAGGAAGTATCTGTTCATTCCTATTTCATTACCTGGTTTGATTTTTTTTTTTTAAACATATGTGGTTAAATCAGTAGGCTCAAATTTGTCTATGTATGATGAAATAGAAAATTCTCCCTAATTCTTTCTGTTCGTAAAGGAAGTTGGCATTTCATATTCTGAATTGTTTTGTTCTGTGTTGTTTACTATAGACAATGATGTTCCCTGTGGATCTACTGGAGAATTGCAGTCATGAGGAACTGGAAGCTTCTGCTGAGGATTACATGTCAGACCTAAGGTGTGGGGACCCTGAAAATCCAGAGTGTTTTTCATTCCTAAATATTACGGTAAGGCATATACAATCTTTTTATCAAGTCTGTTTTTGAATTCACCATTCTTTTATTATAATTTTTATGTGCTCATTGTTCAGTTTTGAAATCCTTATCAGAAGTCTATTCAGTAAAATGGATAAATCCTGGTTGATGAGCACAGCAGCATGATCAGGTTTTTAAAAGATAGGTTATTGCTTTATCTATCTTTAAAAAAGTATGTGCAAATATCTCACCAGATTTGCTAAGACTGGTTACCATAATTTTTATTAAAAAAAAAAATCAGCAATATATTGATTTATGCATTTTTCTATCATGAATCTTCTATCTCATTTTTAAAACTAGAAAAATAAGATTTTCCAAAGAATAAGCACTGGACCCCAGGGTCAATTTCAGCTGCAAGGTCGGTGATTCAAACTCACCAGCAACTCCTCAGAAACTGGATACAGGGTCGCCAGGAGTTAGAACTGACTCGACAGCACTTAACTACACCAACAAAAAAAGAGTAAACTTTGATATGTTGTTAGAGGAAGATGATTAGATTTGGAATCAGTCATTCTAATATGAATTGATGATCGGCAAATTCCGTAATTTCTGTAGATCTCAGATTTTTCCTCTGGAATATCATGTTGATGTAACCAATCCTTTAAAATCTTCTCTTGCAACAATATTATATAATCCTCTGAATTAAAATATTACCTGTAAATGGGGAATTAGTGTTAAAGAAGGCAGAACAATTGAAACTATTGCTGGAAAAGGAGGTTGTTTAATTGGCTTCTTTAGTTGTTAGGTGCCGTCCAGTTGGTTTTGACTCATAGCAACCTTATGCACTACAGAATGAAACCCTGCCCTATGCTATGCCAACCTCATAATTGTTGTTAGGCGTTTGTCCATTCCTGCTGCCACTACGTCATTTCATTTTGTTGGGGATCTTCCTCTTTTTCACTGACCCCTTCACTTTACAAAGTATAATGTCTTTCTCCAGGGACTGGTCCCCTCTGATAACATGTTCAAAGTGTGAGAGACGAAGTCTTGCTATCCTGGCTTCTAGGGAGCATTCAGACTGTACTTCTTCCAACACAGATCTGTTTTTCTTCTGGTAGTCCATGGTACTTTTAATATTCTTTTCTAACACCGTAACTCAATGCATTCATTCTTTTGTGGTCTGCCTTTTTCGTTGACCCAGTGTTCACATACATATGAGGCTATTGAAAATACCATGGCTTGGGTAAAGGCAGACCTTAGTCCTCAAAAGGACATCTTTGTTCTTGAATACTCTTAAGTAGATCTTGTGTAGCAAATTTGCATAGTGCGGTGTGTCATACGATTTCTTGATTACTATTTCCATGAGTGTTGATAGTGGATCCAAGCAAAGTGAAGTCTGACAGCTTCTATCTTTTTTCCATTTTTCATGATGTTATTTATTGGTCCAGTGGTGAGGATTTTTGTTTTCTTTACATTGAGGTGCATTCCATACTGAAGGACTGTAGTGTTTGATCTTGATAAGTAAGTATTTCAGGTCCTCTTTGCTTTCAGCAAGCAAGGTTATATCATCTGCATATCGCAGGTTGTGAGTCTTCCTCTAATCCTGATGCCACGTTCTTCTTTATATACTTAATGCTCTTGGATTATTTGCTCAGCATACAGATTGAATAAATATGGTGAAATAATACAACTCTGGTGTATACCATTCCTGATTTAAAACCACTCAGTAGAAGATATTTTTCTCCTCAAGGAGTCTGAATTGCTGGTGATAACATGTGGTTATTTTTGAATGACCTTTGAGGCCAAGCCATAGCTTTTGTTTTTATTTATACTGATGGATGTTGTTGTTGTTAGGTGCCGTTGAGTTGGTTCTGATCCGTAACGACCCAACGTAGGGTTTCTGAGCAGCAGCTGGTGAATTTGAACCACCGACCTTGCAGTTTAAACAGTCCTTACAGTCCAGTGCATTAACCCATAGCACCACACTAAGACTCCATACCTGTGGATAGATACAGTAGTATTTGTTGAAATAAACTTCAGTTTTTCCCCAAGAAAAATAATCCTTCAAAAGGAACATTGACATGGATTTCTTCTGGTTTTTTAGTGACTTAGGAATATTATCTTCTGCTAAATGTAGTGATATAATTAGAAATAATGTGGGAAAAATTTAGTAATTTATCATGTATTTTTTTAATAAATTCTTCACTAATCTTTGTTGTTTCAGATTCCTATCAGCCTGTCAAGTGTAGGCTTTGTGCCTCTTTATGGTGGAGATCAGACCCAGAAAGTTCTTGCTCTTTTTGCACCCGAGGACTCGCTCACAGGTGTCTTTTTTGATTAGTTTTTATGAAATGAAGACTTTTTCTCCTGTTAGATATTTAGGTATTTGTTTCTAAAAGAACTATCTCAAACTATGATTTTAGGTAAAGCAGTTGCTGAAATTATACATGTAATGTGTGAAATAAAATAAAATTTCATTGTTTACCGGTCAGTCAGTTCCAACTCATAGTGATCCTGTAAAAGGTTTCAGAGGAGTGGCTGGTGGGTTTGAACTGCTGACCTTCGTGTTAGTAGTCCAGTACTTTTCCTATAGCATCACACCAGGATTTCTAGTATGAGTATATTTATGGGTCCCCAGTTATGCTGTAGGATAAGCACTGGATTGCTAACCACAAGGACAGCAGTCAAACCCACCAGCCACTCTGCAAGAGAAAGATGAGGTTTTTCTATTCCTATAAAGATTTACAGCCTCAGAAACCCTGTACAGTGTGGCTGTGAGTTGGAATCCACAAGATGCAGTATGTTTAGTTTGTTTTTTTCATGTCACCCTCAGTTAAGTAGTAACATTGCATACTTTTAGTCTTACATTTAAATGATAATAATCTTTACTCTGTTTTAGCTGTGGCACTTTACCTTGCTGATCAGTGGTGGGCTATTGATGATATTGTGAAAACAACCGTCTCTTCTAGAGAGGGGCTTAAACAGGTAACAAGACTTTACTTTGAAAAGTTTTATTATGAAGCCATTTCTCAATATGTTTCCCATAAACAGTGACGGTTTTTGAAGTTACTGAGCTTATCTCCATTTTAATATCACCAAATTACCTTGTAACTTTAATATCACCAGAGTTACCTTGTAATGGCCATTCCAGTTGGGCTTCTTTGTTTGATGTGATACTAAGAGTGTCTGGGAATGGATGAGATAGAATGAATTCCTGTGGGACAGTTGATCTTCCTATGGGATAGCTGATCCATGGCCGCCCTTAACAACTTTAGCTTCGGACCTTCTTACTCATCAGGGAAAAGCTAATTTTCTAAGTGTGAATGCTGAGATACTTTGTCCCTTCAAAACTGACCAGGATGCTTAATCTTTGGAGGTCTGTACAGTATTCTGCAAAACGGCCAGGTTCATGAGATAGCAGGCTTTCCAGTGTCTGCAGGATGATGTAGAAACCAGCCGAACGAAGGTTTTTATGCTAGAGGTGAAAGGCCTTAAGACTTAAGAGACTTCTCTAATGTTCTGGTTTTCAGCGTATAAATGGGACAGGATGGGAAAACCCACAGAAAAGAAGATGTGAAATATGCAAAGAGGCAGACCAGAATTTAAAAGTGTGAAACTATTTGGTGGTTGACAGGATGTAATTGAGAATAAAAGTGGTTGCTGCCATTGTTAAGTGCCACTGAGCTGGTTCTGACTTGTTGCGACCCTCTATAGCGTTCCCAAGGAGTGGCTGGTGATTTTGAACCGCCGACCTTGTGGTTCAAATCAACCTTGCGGTCCAGTGTTTTATCCCACAGTGCCACATCAGGACTCCCAATAAAAGTGGAATGGTAGGGAATTTTGACTACGTAGAGATATGTTAGACCTTTCTTAAAGAGAATGCTAACTTTTTGGAGCAGTACTGCTGCTGTCTTGTCTGCAGAATAATATGAAGGATTTGTAGAAATGAATACATGTGGGGATCCTTATTAATGAATCCCATGAAGAAGAGACCATTGTTAAGGAATAGAGCTGACAGCCTGATCTCCCCGTGTTCCATTTCTAGAAAGTCCAAGTCTGTCAAAACTTGTTAAATGTGCAAGGTGCCCCATATCTATTCATTCTTGTGGGGCAGTTGAAGCAATCAGAAGAAACAAGGGAAACATGTTCAGAGATTATAAATCCTGCATAGAAAAGTGAGAAACTTGCAAAATACTGGGGTGTTTTAGTTTCTTCCCTTTGGATTTGGAACTTTGAAAGAGATAAGAGCTGACATGAACAAGCCCGAGTGTTACATTCATTCTTGTGAAATGTGCCTTGAGATACCAGAATGATGGCCCCATCTCACAAAGACTAGGAAAAATGTTTATTGCTGGTAAGTACTGTCAAATTGGTTCCGACTCATAACCACCCGGTATAGGGTTTCCAAGGAACAGCTGGTAGGTTTGAACTGCTGACCTTGTAGTTTGCCGTCCAGTACTGATCTTACAGTGCCACAACCAGGAGTCCGTAAGAATGTCTACACCTAGAGATTTGCCAGTCTGATGGAGAACTTTGCCATATAATTGAAGTAGATGGCAGTAGAAGAGTATAACTCATTCTCAGAAACAGATCTGGTAGATAAGGAAAGGGGGAAGCATGTATGTCAAGAAAAGAAATCTCCTGAGATGTTAGGATTGAGGTATCATGCATTATAGAGGACATTTGGGTGTAAATGTTCAAGAATGGAGAAAGAGACTATTACTGGGACAGTGTGTTGTGGACTCTCTTAGATAAGTGAAGAAACTTGGAGAGGAGGGAGGAGAGACCAAACACCCAAAATAAGACTCTGTCTGTTTGGACTCACACAACAGGTGTCCTTCAGCCTCAGTTACTTTTGTGACATTGCTTCTTAGAGATAGAGAAATCGGTGAAGGGAGATTGCTCTTCTAGTTCAATCAAAAGTTGATTGGTAAGGTTACAGGAGGAAGTAACCATTCTTCTATTCAACAAGCATCAAACCTTGAACAAGTGGTTTTGTTTCTGTATGAGTAGTGACAGTTTCATAAGATGAAGAAATAAAGATCCTAACCTGATGCCTGAAACATAGTGTTCGGTTATAGAGAGAGAGGCCCTCAGCAGCCGACTATAAACTTCGTTCCTTTTTCTATGCTGGTCATCATTCTATGAGGTGACCAGGTAGCTCAGTGGGTAAGAGCTTGGCTGCTAACCAACAGGTTGGAGGTTTGAACTCACCAGCTGCTTCTGTAAAGATTGATAGCCTTGGAAGCCCTAGGAGACAGTTCTCCTCTGTCCTGTACTGTCCCTCAGAGTTGGAATTGACTCAGTGGCAGTGGGTTTGATTGGGGCTCTGGTTTTGATCACGTTTTATCTGTTACTTGGATAAAGTAAGATACTTATGAATTCTGTGTGGCACAGCAGTGAACGGGGCAATTTGAAAGGTAGACATAAGAAAGTGAAGCATCTAAACTGATGAAATAGAGGTAAATACAGTTGTTTCTGTTGCTGTGAAGAGCTGTCAAGTTGGTTCCGACTCATAGTGACCCTGCGTAGGGTTTCTAGGGAGCAGCTGGTGGGTTTGAACTGGTTCTGCATAGCAGTCCAGTGCTTATCCTACAGTGCCACCCAGGATTCCAAACATAAAGTCATACACATAAATTAAAAAACGTTAACTATAGAGGTACACAATGAAGACCAAACTGAAGCAGAAGCATATTTGAAAAGATTTGGGTTTTAATTATTTAGAAATAAAATCAAGGTAAGAAGCAATAACGCCTTCAGTTTATTCTGAAAAGACCCATTTTCTTGGTGTTTATATCTTCATTGTGTATATCATCATCATTTATATTTGCAGTGTCTGTGATAAGCACTGGACTGTGAAACACAGGTCTGTTGTTTGAGCCCACTAGCTGCTCTGTGGGAGAAAGATGAGGTTTTCTGTTCTCTCGAAGATTTAAAGCCTTGGAAACCCTGTATTGGGTCTCTGTGAGTCGGAACAGTTGAGGCAGTTCAGGAGGTTGAGGAGACCCAGGGTCCTGGCAGCTGGAAGCAGAAAGACAACGCTGAGTGCCGGAAGAGAAGATACTGCGCGGTTGGCAGGTTGGAAACCACTGTTGCTTGTTTTAGAGTTTTGCTAAGAGGCATTGTTCCATATGTAATGTTTGTTTATAGAAATGGGTTCTTAATCATTTGAATGATTAGTCTTATGCCTGTGATGATAAAATGTTTTTACAGATCATTTTGAATGTATTGAGCTGCTTTGCATGCCATATAAGGTGTGGGAGCAGGGAGCAAAGTAAACAGCATCTCTGAATTGATGTGTCTTGTAACTGTTGTACGTGGTGTTTGACTCTCTTTGTAGGTGAGCACTCTTGGGGAGAGAGTGGTTCTGTACGTTCTGAATCGAATTGTGTATAGAAAACAGGAAATGGAGAGAAATGAGATCCCATTTCTGTGTCATAGCAGTACCGATTATGCTAAGATTCTGTGGAAGAAAGGAGAGGCGATTGCTTTTTATTCAGTTAAGCCTACAGGTGAGTGTTTAAAAGTTCTTTAAAGTCTGCATTATGAAAACCTCCTTTTTTTAGACCCCCCAACTACAGAAGTGTCCCTGTGAGATTAGTCTAGCGAGAACTCGAGTTGATTTTACCTAGTATTTCCTTGGGAGCGCTTTGGTTGTATCATCCTATAAAAGTAAAGATTGTTAGAAAAGTTTTAAAACACATTTAACAGGGGGCTAGATTTCTCCCCATATGTGGAAAGATGGTTGCTCAGAGGAGCCTCACATTTTTTATCTCCCTTTCCTTCACTTAAATGTTGACTGACTTCACTATTGCTGACTCCTTTTCAAACCCCAGTCCATTTGTGACCCACCTCAGAGCCCTTTTCTGCGTAGCGCAGCAGATTTTGTTGTTGTTGTTAAGTGCCGTCGAGTTGGTTCTGACCCATAGCGACCCTGTACAGGGTTTCCGAGGGTGCAGCAGATTAGGTTTCCGGGAACCAACCCTGCAAAGTAATGAAAGGCAGCAGTTGTTGAGGACACTATGCCAGGCTTGGACTGGGAGCGACAGTTTATGTCGCCATTTTCCTGTTTATAGTGAGTCCACGGCACATAACAACAACAACAACAACCTACGATCTTAAAGCCAAGTTACATTATACCTATCCCCATGATCAAGGTCATTCCCTCCTCATGTTACTTTGTGAGAGGAATTCTTATCTGGACAAATGGAATTTACTGATACTGTACTTCTTACCTTTCCAGTAATCCACAAGACTGACCAAGTTGATACAACATTTACTCCTGGAAGTAGAACACTCAGAATGCTAACTCCTCAGAGATTAAGTCACTAAGCAATCTTACTTCTGTTTTTCATATTTTTTTTAGGGCTGACAGTATATTTTTTCTGTTATTTCAACAGGACCAGTTCCTCTTTATTTCTCTATGTCAACAATACATTTTAGTATGTAGTTTTCTTAGTGGTTGTTGTTGTTAAGTGCCGTGGAGTTGGTTCTGACTCATAGCGACCCTGTACAGGGTTTCCGAGGCTGTAAATCTCTACGGGAGCAGAAAACCTCATCTTTCTCCTGCATAACAGCTGGTAGTTTCGAACTGCTGACCCTGAGGTTCCCAGCCTGATTTCTAACCACTACGCTACCAGAGCTCCTTAGTGGTAGGAGATTGATAAAGTATTACTGGCACAGTGGTACAGTATCATAGAATCTTAGAAGCCCTGGTGGAGCTATTGGTTAACTTTGGGCTGCTGACCTAAAAGTCAGCAGTTCAAACCTACCAGATACTTCCTGGGAGAAAGATGAGGCTGTGTGCTCCTGTAAAGATTTACAGTCTGGGAAATCCTATGTAGGGTCGTTGTGAGTTGGAATTGACTCAGTGGTAGTGAGGATTTTTTGGATCATAGAATCAACAGTGCTAAATTTTACGATCCAAAATTTTGGATCGTAAAATCAACCAGTTTCCTGTGTTGTTGTTGTTATTGGATGAAGTCGAGTCAGTTCCGACCCATAACGACCCTGTATAGGAGTTCCAAGGAGCAGCTGGTAAGCTTGAACCGCCAACCTTGTGGTTCAAACTGATTTTGCAGTTCAGTGCATTAACCACAGTGCCACACCAGGACTCCCAGCTTCCTAAATGATGATCTTGTTGTTAAATGCCGTCGAGTCCGTTCTGACCCATAGCGACCCTGTATAGGGTTTCCTGGGAGCAGTTGGTGAGCTTGAATCGTCGACCTTGTGGTTCAGGCTGACTTTGCAGTCCAGTGCATTAACCACAGCACCACACCAGGGCTCCCAGCTTCCTAAATGTTGTTGTTGTTGCTAAGTGCTGTTGAGTCGGTTCTGAACCCATAGTGACCCTGTATAGGGTTTCCAAGGAGCAGCTGGTGAGCTTGAACCACTGACCTTGTGGTCCAAACTGACTGCAGTCCAGCACATTAACTCACTGTGCCACACCAGGACTCCCTAGCTTCCTATATAGGTGTGAAATTTTCATACCCCTAGAGGAAAGTTCTGTTTCTTAAGCTCCCTATTTCCTCAACTAGCTCAAGACAAAGTGTTTATTGTTAAGTTCAACACTGACTTAGAGGTCTCTTTTATATTAACTCTGTAGACTTTTCTTAAAACTGGTAGTTGGAGGTAACAATCTTATTACCAGTTACAGAAAAGATTACTTTTTCAATGTGTTATCTTCAGTAATAATCTGGGCTTTATCCTCTTGAAATTTATATTGTATTTTGTAATCTTAAATTCTTAGCAGTCTTAATCTCTGTGATAATATAGCTAAATGATTAGACCACTTATCTCCTAAATAATAATTTCAGTAGTGCTATATTATTCCAAGTCATATAGGTTGCCAGTATTGGGAGTGGTCCGATTTCCTGTATTTCTAAATGTTTCATATTAAACATCATTGACTGTTTTGTTCATAAATCAGTGTGCTCTTTCAGTCAGAATCTGTTTTTTTTTCCTAAACTTTTTATTGGGAATCAGTCGAAGATTTACAGAGCAGATCATTAGTTTTCTATTCAGCATATCACATATTTTGCTTCATTACAGTGATTGGCGCCCCCTCCCCCCCATGCACCCGTGTTTAACCTTACTTACTGTGATTCACTTTAATTGTTGCATTCCTCCCGGTGTCGCCCACTGCCTTCATCTTTCCTGTGCTATCCTCCCTCTTGTTGTGTATCGCCTGCCCTGTCACCCATGTTAACATGTCTACCCTGTAGCCCATGAGTAATTTTCTTTCACATCCCCCTCCATAACGCAGCCATCATAGATTGTTTCTTAACTTTTCGTAACATTGGAAGATACAATATTTGTCCTTTTGTGATTGACTAATAATGGACTCCTGGTGTGGCGCTATGGGCTAATGTGTCAGACTGCAAAGCCGTTTGAACTGCAAGGTTGATGGTTCAAGCTCACCAGTTCCTCCTTGGAAACCCTGTACACGGTTGCTATGGATCGGAATTGACTTGACAGCACTTAACAACAACAACAATTTCACTCAGCATAATGTCCTCCATCCATATTGTGAAGTGTTTTGCAGGTTAATTGTCACTCTTCTACACCAGCACCGCACACTTGTTCCATTGTGTGTCTGTACTAAAGTTTGTTTAACTATTCTTGTGTTGATAGACATTTAGTCTGTCTCCATCTTTTCATGTGTCTCCTGTAGATGACATATTGAATCCTCATCCACTCTGTCTCTTGATACAGCATTTCATCCTTTTTGTGGTGCGGCTGGTTTCTTTGTTCCACAATATCTTCTACGCTGAGTTTTCATTTTTTGGTGGGCTTTCTTTTCCTTTTTTTCGTTTGTATTAATATTTGCCAAATCTTTCTGATTTTCCTCTTTTAAAATTTAGATGTGCAGTTGTATTAATTTTCTTAGAGGTTACCCTGTAATTTATTTATTTTTTTCCCTATTTAAAACAGTCTGTTTCATCTTGAAATCTACTTGACTTCCTTGCCGTTTGGAAGTTCTTTATATGCTCTATTCCCTTTTTTTACTTTGTAGTAGACTTCATTATAAATTGGTATCTCTGGTTCCCTATTTTTAGTCTTGTAGTTTTGTTTCACTTTAAATACTTATATATTTGGAGTGGGAGTCATGGTGTAGCACTGTGGGTTAATGCACTGGACTACAAAGTCGGTTTGAGATGCAAGGTTGGTGGTTCAAGCTTATCAGCTGCTCCTCAGAAACCCTATACAGGGTTGCTATGGGTTGGAATTGACTT